AAGCCCAGATAAGAGAGGTTGACTGTAGCCGTGGACAGCTTCTCTTTGTAACTGGAGTGTGTTCTAAGCCTTCTAAGTCGCTTCAGTTGTGTCTCACTCTTTGCAACCCTATGGACTATAACCCACCAGGCTCCTCTGTCCAAGGGATTCTACAGACGGGAATATTGGAGTGGGTTGCCATGCTATCCTCCAGGGGATCTTTTGACCCAGCAATCAAACCTGAGTCTCTGGCGTCTCCTGCATTGGCAGATGGGTTCTTTACAAATAGGAAAGTATTAATAGAATGGTTTATATGTTTGCTATAAGATTATAAATTCCCCATTTTTACCACTTTCATCTGTTTTCTCTGTAAAACTTGAGTTGAGCTCCTTTGCAGAGAGTAAAGAGAAATGAAGCATTGGAAATCTGAGGAATAGTTTTTGTGCCGAATGGTTGAAATAGTTCTCCCATGGAGTTGACTAGGAAAAACTATTAAGAATTTTAGGCTGTTGAGGAACCTTTTGAGGCTGGTAGTAGTATGCTATAGAGGAACTGCTGATCTGTCCTACTGTGTAATTCCTTCAGTTGCATTGGGTATGCGGGTAAAGGCACAGAAAAGGCAAATGTTGACATTTACATATTAGCTAGATGGGTGAGATAAGAAGATAAATAGGCAGGGAAATTTAGGATATTGAAATGATGAGTCATGGGCAATAAGCTAGTTAAGGACAGAACTAAAGGAAAAAAAGCTTGCTTCCAGTTCAAGATGGTAGAGTAGAAAGATGTGCATTTATCTCCTCCTGAGAGAGTACCAAAATTGCAACTAACTGTTGAATAACCATTGACAAGAGGACTCTGGAACCCACCAAAAAAAGATAGCTCATATCCAAAGACAAAGAAGAAGCCACAGCAAGATGGTGGGAGGGACACAATCACGATAAAATCAAATCTCATACCTGCAGTGTGGGTAACCCACAAACTGGAGAACAATAATACCAAACAAGTTCTTCCATTCTTAGGAAGGTTCCAAACCCCACACCAGGGTTCCCAGCCTGGGGATCCAACAATGGGATTTGGAATCCCCAGCAAATCTGACCTTGAAGACCAGTGGGAATTGACTATAGGACTTCCACAGGACTGGGGGAAACAGACTCCTGTCTTGGACGGTACAAACAAAATCTTGTGTGCACCAAGACCCAGAGGAAAGGAGCAGTGATCCCATAGGAGACTGAACCAAAACTACTTGCAAGTGTTGGAGGGTCTCCTGTGGAGTTCTGGGTTGGCAAGACCTCACCACAGGGACAGGGCCACTGGCAGCAACAGGCCGGGAAGGTCTCCCTTGGTGTAAACCCTCTTGGGTTTGCTGTTAACCCTACCATAGAACCCACAGACCCCAGAACTGGGTCCCCTAAAGCCAAACAAGTACCAGAAGGGAATGTAACCCCAGCCATCAACATATACTTGGATTAAACTTTTACTGAGCAATGCCCTGCCCACTAGAACAGTTTTTCCCTTTGCAAGTCCAACCCCTCAGGAGGCTTACCCAAGCCTCTTAGCTTCCTCCACCAGAGGACAGACCGAAGAAGCAAGAAGAACCACAGTCCCACAGCAGCTGGAACAAAAAAGACGTTACAGAAAGTAAATCAGGATGAAAAAGCAGAAAGTTATGTCCCAGATGAAGGGAAAAGATAAAACCCTAGAAAAACAGCTAAATGAAATGGAGGTAGGCAACCTTCTAAATAAAGAATTCAGAATAATGATAGTGAAGGTGATCTAGGATCTTGAGAAACAAAGGAGAAAGTGCAAGAAATGTTTACCAAAGACCTACAAGAACTAAAGAACAAACAAAGAGAAGTGAATAATGCATGAGACGGAATCAATAGCAGAGTAACTGAGGCAGAAGTACAGATAAACGACCTGAAGGTCAGAGTGGTGGAAATTACTGCCACAGAATAGAATGTAGATAAAGGATACATAGTAATCAAACTGACAAAAATTAAAGACAAGGATAAAATATTAAAAGTAACAAGGGAAAAATGACAACATAAAAGGGAATTTTCATCAGGCTACCAGCTGATTTCTCAACAAAAACTGTACAAGCCAGAAGGGAATGGCACAATATGTTTAATGTGATGAAAGGGAAGAACCTACAATCAAGAATACTCTACCCAGCAAGACTCTCATTCAGATTTGATGGAGCAATCAATAGCTTTCCAAACAAGCAAAAGTTAAGAGAATTCAGCACCATCAAACCAGCTTTACAACAAATGCTAAAGGAATTTCTCTAGACAGGAAACACAAGAGAAGGAAAATACCAACAGAAAATAAACCCAAAACAATTAGGAAAGTGGTAATAAGGTCATAACTATTGATAATCTCCTGAAGTTTAAATGGATCAAATGTACCAACCAAAAGACATAGATTGGTTGGGCAGATGAAAACATGTGTGTACGTGTTTCCACTTACCATATCACTCTGTTTGACCCCCCCCCAAACTGTATGTAATTATTTTATATTGTTAGGCTAATCATGTTCCCATTATGGCTGGCAATTGTAATTCTCTTTTATTTTTACTCTGGCTATTGATTGTGAAAACTGTTAAATATCTTTTACTTTAAAAAAAAAATGGTATGCATGTGAAAAAAAATTTTTTTAATAAAATAAAAATCACCCCTCTCATAAAGGAAAAAGGGATAAATTGGGAGATTAGTGTTGACATATGCACACTACCATATATAAAATAGATATTTAATAAAGGCCAACTTACAGCACAACAAACTCTATTGAATATTCTGTAATGGCCTATAGAATATATATGTATGTATTACTGAGTCATTTTGCTGAACACAGGAAACTCACACAAATTTTAAATCAACTATACACCAACAAAGTTTTTTAAAAAATCAAAAAGAGAAAGAAAGGAAAAAGCTAATGAACAGGGAGCAAATCAATTAACTGGAGGTTGTCATGAGGTCTAATTATACAAATCAACATCATTTTTGTTCACTAACAAGTCCCAGCTCCTGGAATAGTGCCTGGCACAGAGTAAGTGTAATATATTTGTGTTTGTTAAATGAATGATCATGTCAGAGCAGAAATCATTTAGTAAGGAAGATAGAATAGGAGGTTGTGGTCAGAGTTGATGTTTGAACAGGTGATGGAAGAGGTGAAGCATTATGGATAATGCCTCATATGTCTGACATGCACATGCAGTAGGTAACTGGTTTCTGGCCTTTTATAGGAAATAAGTATTTTTCAAAAAATTTAAATAGTCATTTATCTACAAATGGGTGAATTGACATTCCCCAAATAATTATCATTTAAAGCCACTGAAACCATCAGGGTTTTTAACTCTACCTCATATGGGCAGAATAAATGAACAAAATACTAGTAGGAATGATCTTCCCTTCCAAATTAACCTAGTCTAGTTCTTAAAGCCAGAAGCTCAGAGTACTTCTCATGATTTCTATTTTATTTTGTTTATCACAGGTGTGGACAGTTTTAGGTTCACAATACTGTATCACCTTTCTAAAGTATATTGATCTTTTAGTAGGCTTTGAAAGACCCCTTTTTTTGCTTTTAGTGTACGGCTAAAGTCTCATTAAAAATAGACTACTTGTAAAGTAAAGATTTACAGAGAGAATGACAGTGGTCTTAATTTTTAAACAATGCCAGTCTTTTCCATTTAGCTAAATGCATCAAAGAAGTATTTTGATTTTGATGATTCATGTCTTTTTCAGATAGCTTGCATTAGTTCTTTATTTCTCTCCCACACGCCACTGTGTAATTACTTGTACAAAGTAGATATTTAATAAGTCTGTACTGACTTATCTTTAATTATGTAATAAGTTGTTCCCTGAAATGCTCTTCTCTCTACTTCTTTCCCTGGTAAATTTCTCTTATGAGCCATCTCAAATATCATCTCTGAAATTATCCCCCATTCTTACAGGCAAATAATCAGGTCTCTGCCCTTAGAGTATTTCTGTGTTCTTTCATATCATCATCATTAACAGGTATAGCTATTTCTTATCCTTTCCTTTTATCTACCAAGGAGCAGAGCAGGGGCTTTAACTTATTCATCTTAGGGTCTCCATACCTTGTATGTGACTACTGTGTAGAACGTCTTCCAGGTTTGTCTGGAAAATAGTATGACAGTGAGAAAGCTCATTCTGCAAGCACACTGTTGGCTTATGTTGGAAAATCCTGCCCTCTAAAGGATTTTGCCTCCTTAAAATTTTCCTGAAGTTAGGATATTGCTATTAGGTGAGCAGTGATTGGTTGGTAATGGGTCTGGAATCCAACCAGTGGATGAGAAAAGTTAGCCTTTTCCCCTTTACCAACCTTTCTTCTTTTCTCTTTTTCAGAAAAATTTATGCAGTTTTTAAAGGTTACGACTTCTTTTACTTAAGCATACAACATAGTTGATTTTCAATATATATTTATTAAAAGTACAAGTATCCCCCAGGATGTTAACTCTGGCCATTCTTAGGGTGGTGGCATTTTTATTTTTTAACTTTTTCCTCTAGATGTAATTTTTTTTTCATTCTTTGAATTTTCTATTTCATGAACTATATTAGGAAAAAAATTCCATTTTTTTTTAAAAGGTATGGTACATGATGGAAACATTTAAGAGAAGTAAATGCTTTGGTACAGTTTGAAACCAGGTAGCTGGTTCAAAATGAACCAATCTGTGCTCTGGTAACACATCTCAGTGGCTTAGGAAAGCAAAGTATATTTGCTGCTGGCAGACTGGAGTTCTTCTACATCCAATACTGCACATCCAGTCCACCTCCATTTCAAAGTGGTTTCCAAAGTTGCTGCATCCAGACTAGGTAGAGATGGAAGAAATCAGCCATTTCTCACCTGCCTTATCACAAGTTATTTGCCAGAGCCAAACCGAGTCACACGGCCCCGAGCTTTACCAGAGCAGAGTGGAAAATGCAGGGGAGCACATAGAATACAGCGTGTGCTGAGCATCAGCTGTCTCTGTTAACATAACTACAACTCGTTTCATTTTACAGTTACTGTAACGAATGTATGTTGGATCCAGACTGCGGGTTCTGTTATCAGATGAATAAATCAACCGTCATTGACTCCTCCTGTGTTCCAGTTAATAAAGCATCCACAAATGAGGCATCCTGGGGCAGGTATGTTGCGCATTAAATACCATAAAAATATACAATAAAATTTCAGCTTGAGACTTATTTTTAAACTTACAGAATGACTGCACTTATACACTCTACTTCTTTTAAATTGGTCTTCTTTTAAAGAATCTTTGTTCTTTATAACTACATTATTTTGCAACATATTCTGATGAGAGTGGGTGGAAATATTGCAACTGTATGCTTCACAAACTTAGCATATAAACTCAAGCCTAGACTTCAGGAAATCCAAATTCCATACCCAGCTCTGTTCTAATAAGCTACAGGAATCTGGACCTTGAGGCAGTATCACTAAATATTACCACGGTAGTTTCTCCCACTGGGTATTTTTTAATTATACCAATAATTTCCAAACTCCAAAACTTAAGTGAAAGACAGAAAATTGTGAAGTCACAATGAATACGATCATTTTAAATTCTTTAATTCATATTGTACGTTTCTGGAAGTCAGAGAAATTAAACAAAATAAGGATAAAGTTGGTAATTATGTGTGTGTATGAGAAACTGTGACGACCTTTCTCTTTTTGACAGATCCCATTGGTTTAGAGTGGGCACATAAATGAAACGTTTGTGTAGAACAAATATCCCATATTTATGAACTAACACTCATATTCATGAATACAGAAACATGTAAATATTATTTGACATGGCTTTTGCATTTTAAATTCTCAGAAAAAGATTACTATGCTTTCATGCTGTCTGCCTCCTAATACTGGGGAAGGCAATGAAATCTGTAATAAAGTGCTTGTATCTCCTAGGAACCAGAAAGTATAATGTATCATCATTAATACTTACGCTGTTGTCATTAATCATTTTATTATGGAATTATTCTAAAGTAGTAGTAGTAAATTATATGATATTGAGTGAAAATTCAGATCACATTTTAAATACACTGCTTAAAAAGAAATATGTAAAAGAAATAGAGTTATTACTTAAAGTGAAAGCGTGAAAGAGCTTCTTTTAAAACCACCTAATGTATCTTTTCATTAGTCAAGCTTTATTAGGAAGTTAATTGATTAATTATTTCTGAATGTAATACTTTACAGTTTTAATCCTTTTGATTTTTTTCAATAGAAGAAGCCTGAAAGTTTCTAATCAAGAATTATGAACAATTTGAAATCTGTGTATGTAGTTTCCTATACTTCATAGAATTAATTTAAAAACTTATGGGGACACTAAAATTATGTTTATCTCTTTCTCATAGGAAGGTCTGTAGGTCGGTAGTCTCAAAATAAGAGTTTTATTCTTTTTGAAGCTAACCAATTTTACAACTTTTTAATAGAAATGCGTATTACTTCTTTTATTTACACCTATTTTAGAGTTTATTTATATTTTTGTACCATTATTCCTGGGCTACACCCACTACTAGAGAAAAGTGAAAATAGCTAAGACCCAAGTAGGAAAAATACAAAGAACTAAACAAAATATACAAGAAACTTTTATGCTTGTGGAATATTCTTATTAATAGAATAATAACCTAAAACTCTTTACCTCCCACCTCGGAAAGAAAACAGATTTTCTCACTCTTCTCTCTGCTGAGCAGCAATCTTCCTCTTAGCTTGGTCACCATGCTGGGTTGCCTCAATCTATCCTACAAAGAAAACAAAAAATGCAGGGTGTATTTACCATGAAACATTTACTGCAACAGATTCTCCAATTGTAGGTAAAATAGCATTCATTATATTTTTGTTTATTTTGTTGATAGGTTTTATGCAATTACCTAGAATGAATTTTCAGGGGAAAATCTACCTTTACCTTGGATTCCTATTCAAGATATACTATTTATAGATGTTTTAGGGTCAAGTATTGAGGCAATTCAGTGACATAATCACAGATCTCTGTTGTTCAGTTGCCAAGTCATGTCTGATGCTTTGCGACCCCATGGACTGCAGCACGCCAGGCTTCCCTGTCCTTCACTATCTTTCAGAGTTTGCTCAGACTCATGTCCATTGTGGCGATGATGCCATCAAACCATCTCATCTTCTGCTGCCCTCTTCGCCTGTTGTCTTCTATCTTTCCCAGCATCAGGCTCTTTTCCAGTGAGTCGGCTCTTCACATCAGGTGACCAAAGTATTGGAGTTCTCCGTTCACGTACTTCAAGACTTCACATACTTCAAGACTAGCTTGAAGGATTTTGAGCATTACCTTGCTAGCATGTGAAATGAACACAACTTTATAGTAATTTGAGCATTCTTTGGCATTGCCCTTCTTTGGGGATGGAATGAAAACTGGCCTTTTCCAGTCCAATGGCCACTGCTGGTTTCCAAATTTGCTGGCATATTGAGTGGAGCACTTTAATAGTATCGTCTTTTAGGATTTGAAATAGCTTAAGTGAAATACCATCACCTCCACTAGCTTTGTTCGTAGTAATCCTTATAAGGCCCACTTGACTTCACACTCCAGGTAGTCTGGCTAAGTGAGTAACCAAACCATCATGGTTATCTGGGTCATTAAGACCTTTTTTGAATAGTTCTTTTGTGTATTCTTGCCACCTCTTCTTAATCGTTTCTGCTTCTGTTAGATCCTTGCCTTTTCTGTCCTTTATTGTGCCCATCCTTGCAAGAAATATTCCCTTGTTATCTTCAATTTTCTTGAAGAGATCTCTTCTTTCCCATTCTGTTGTTTTCCTCTATTTCTTTGCAGTGTTCACATAAGAAGGCTTCTTGCATATTTTTTTCATGGGGATGGTTTTGGCCACTGCCTTCTGTACAGTGTTACAAACCTCCATCCATAGTTTTTCAGGCATTCTGTCTACCAGATCTAATCCCTGGAATCTATGCATCATCTCCACTGTATAATCATAAGGGATTTGATTTATGTCATACTTGAATTGCCTAATGGTTTTCCCTACTTTCCTCAGTTTAAGCCTGAATTTTGCAATAAGAGCTGATCATCTGAGCCACAGTCAGCTCCAGGTTTTGTTTTTGCTGAGTGTATAGAGCTTCTCTGTCTTCAGCTGCAAAGAATCTCTAGTTGTAGCTATTTCCTGAAAAACACCAGGTAGAAGGGTAATACTATTCATGATGAAGGTAGGATGCTGATTTTTATCTCAACATAATGAAAAACATTTGTCCATAAAATTAACTACAATTAATTTGAAATAACACTTTGTCAATCAGTATGCTTTTCTATGTGAGCTTATGTGCTCAGTTGCTTCAGTCTTGTCCAGGTCTTTGCGACCCTATGGACTGTATGTAGCCTGCCAGGTTCCTCTTTGCATGAGATTCTCTAAGCAAGAATATTGGCGTGAGTTGCCAGACCCTCCTCTATGGGATCTTCCCAACTCAGGGATTGAACCCACGTCTCCTGCATCTCCTCGCTGCAAATGGATTCTTTATCACTGAACCACCGGGAAAGCCTTTTATATTTCAATCAAAAAGTTTTCTGTTTATCCTCGTTCTCCAAAAAAGATACGCAAAAGACAAAGCTCATGAAAAACTGTCCAGCAGCGCTAATTATTAGGGAAATGCAAGTCAAAACTACAATGAGGTATTACCTCAGACGCCTTAGGATAAAAAACAAATAATAAAAATAAAACAATAATTGTTGTGGAAGATGTGGAAAAATTGGAAACTGTATGCACTGTAGATAGGAATATAAAATGGTGCAGCCACTATGGAAAACAGTGTGGCAGTTTTTACATAATTTTAAGATAGAATTATATGTCATCTAATAACTCCACTTTGGGTATACATCCAAAAGCATAAGGTCTTGAATAAGGTCTTGAAGTTTTATTTGAATACCGTATTCATAGCAGCATTGTTCACAATAGCCAGAAGCTGGAAGCGACTCAAATGCTACTTGACAGACAAATGGATAAGCAAACTGTATGTACATACAATTATACATATTTAAAGAAAAGAAATTCTGGCTACTACAACATGAATAAGCCTTGAATACGAGATGATGAGTGAAATGAGCAAATACCGAATGATTCCATTAACATGAGGTACCCAGAGTACTCAGGTTTATAGAAGAAGAATGAAGAATAGTAGCTGCCACAAGCAGAGGGTAGAAGGAAATAGGGAGTTGTTGTTTAATGGTTATGGGGTTTCAGGTTTGGAAAATGAAATGAGTTTTGGAGATTGCTTACCGAATAAGGTGAATATACTTACTGCTGAACTATACAGTTTAAAATGATTAAAAATTTAAATGGTTAATTAAGGTAGTAAATTTTGTGTAATGTGTATTTTACAATTAAAAAATTTTAAAAAGGAAAACCCGTGTTAAAATCATTTAACATAGTTCTAGAAAATTCAGTACACTGCACTAATAGAAAATCTTTCCTCCTGCCCGTCATCCTCTGCATCTCCCACATGCATCCCACACAGAGGCAAATATAGGTTTAATTCACAGCTGAACTTGAGAGAAATACCCAAATGCTACCAGTGAGCGTGAGAGCAGCAAAAGCCCATGTGGAAGCCCAACAGCACACAAGAGCATCAGAACAGAAGCCAGTCAAAAGGGTGAGAGGCTAGTGCTTTAGGTGCTAAGAAGACAAAACTCCAGGTCTTGCCTCTAGAACTGTGATGGGCCACCTAGGCTCTGAAACAGAGACAAGAAAATCTGTTGGGCTGTGCTGGGCAAAATTCTCTGTGACCCACTTGGGACCTTCAGTTGGAACAGTGTCACACATGAGGAAGCAAAACCAGAAGCCTTTACTATAGGGAAATATGGCTTCTAATTTCATATTGCCCTTGTGAAGGGAACCATCAGTTGAGAAACATGAATAGTAAAAAGTCAAAATGTGGGTCCCAAACTGGAGACATCCATAAAGCTAACTCAGCAAACCTGCAGTTATAAGAACCCAGGACACATGAGACTTCCATCAAAAGCAAATATGAGATAGCAGTAAAAAATGTTAAATTAATATCAATTTATGGAAGAAAGCTACTACGTGTAACAGACAGAAGAATGAACCAAAAAGAACCTTAAATTACCAAAAAAATTTAAGAGACTTTAAAATAATGTTTAAAAGAAAAAAAG